GAAATCACCAGCCAGAACTATGCCACTGTTTGGATAATGTGTTTCAATTATTTCCAGTGATGATTTAAGGTGTTCCTTCATTGCTGTGTTATTCGCCCTTGGAGGGTGATAAAGCACACCTGCAATAATGTTTGAAAAACCTCGAGGTAAACGTTTTGGTCGTAGTATACACCACAGAACTTCATGATCCTCCTTATGTAGTATGGACAAAGTTTTACTCTCAATAGTGTTCCTCACATACAAGCACACACCGCCATGCTGCTTATTTTTGCGATCTAATCTAAATAGTTGATAACCAGAAATAGCAATTGGGTCATCTGCGATTGAATCTTTCAACCATGTTTCAGTAAAGAAGCCTACTTGAATATCTTTCTGTTGTATAGTAAACGCTATTTCATCAATTTTTGGGGCCAATGACATTGTATTCGAAAGTAATAGTGTTGGAACAAATTGAGAATTATCGTTGGGTTTCACTTGACTCTTATTCGTATTTGTTATATGTTTGGTGAGTGGAACAGTTATTAAATTTCTAAATGTGCGTAGGGGGGAGGTCTCGTGACTCAATAAACGGGGGGTCGTAGGTGAAGGAGGTAGGATGGTTGATGTACTACACGAGGTGAATATATTGGGATATCCATTAAAGGTTTTGGCCACGGGTAGGTTGATGATGGTATCATGACTTGCCAGTTGTAATTTGGGGTCATTTTCCTTTGGTGGTGGGATAAAAAAGGACTAGGATAGTTCATGTTAGGCCTTTGAGTCGACGGAATATTTGAGGTATCACTATGTGAAAAATCGCATTGGTCTCCTTTCAAGCAAAACCCTCTCCGTTGTAGAAAGGGACAACGTGTTCTGTATTTAGGCATATTATCCCATGGCTTTTTTGGGTGCAGATGTTGTGGGTGTTTAAAATCACAGTTATGCTTCTTAATACACCAGCCCCGCCGCGAGAGAAAAGGACAAGGAATATTGCTTTTAGGAATCTGCTCATTAGACGGCTGTGTTTGCAATCTTGTAATGGGTATTCTATTTCTATGCGCATTAATAATGCCTTGTTGTTTACTCAGGGGTGCATCTTTGGTGTATGCTAATAAGGGGCTCGTTAATTGATCTACAATTACAGTGGCGTTTGTCAAATTATGATGTTGATCTTCATCATTGGACGGAGGAATTTCAATAATAGTTGAGCTTAACTGATTCTTATTCATAATAGTGGGTAACTCGTTGGTCAAACAAAAGGAATCATCCATTGTATTAAATACATTATTATTCTGGCTAGGGTCTTTGTTCTTAGAGTTGTTAGGAATTTCGTTAGATGCATTAATTAATCCACGACCTTTGTTCGCAAGGTCGTTTTGGGCTCCACCGCGCTCAAGGGATAATAATTTTGTCTTAATGTATTGAATTTCCTCATTGAGTTTGCAGATTACTTCGTCTTTTTTATTTATAATGGCCTCTATGTCCTTCTGTTTAACACGAAGTGAGTTAATATCGTCAGACTTAGACTCTTGTTGGGAAATTGAAGCAAATAAACGGGACCCTAAAATCGTCATATCGAGTTTCACACCCTCCAGTTCAGCGATTATATCACTGTTAACACAAGTATAAGGACATGTGCATACCTTAGATACTGAAACACCGTCGCCAGCTGCCACGTCGCTCCCAACTGGATTCGCCAAACTCGCAAATTTCCGCTTCAAGTAGTGTTCATTATCAGTTTGAATCACAAGCTTTTTAGAGTGACCGTACCATTTGATAGCAAATCCACAATCAACGGCATTAATTAAAGAGCTTGACATCACCGCCAGGGGAACTCCCAAAGTTTCATCTCGACAAAGCACTTTAAGTCTTAAGTCGGATAATAAACCATTAAAACGATATATTCCACCATCAACAAGCAGTTTAGTTGTCGTGCTCATATTTGTGACAAAATTTATTGACTTCAGAGCGATTCTACAGAGAAATCGAGGAGCTCTAAACCATACGTCTTGCCCAGTACGTTTAGCTTGCGCGAGCACTACTGTGGTAAGTTATCCACATAGGACTGTTATACATCTCTGCTATTAACACACATCCCGCAATATAATATATCATCTGTGCCCTTGAGGCACAGATGATAGATTATACATCTGTGCTTGGGTCGAGGTAGCATTTCCTTGCGATAGTAACTTCTAGTTTAAAATTCATAAGGTTATTGGCAAATCATGTCAACTATAATATGTCACGTGCTCTGGTTTTAAACCTGACAAAACACTCCTAATTAGTATTCTTTATATAAAAAATACTAATAAGGCAGTATCTATTGTAGACGTGTCCTTATTAATGTTCTTTATATAAAGAATACTAATAAGACAGTATACCTATTGAATTTGTAGTCGTGTTTGAAACCGTTTAATAAACGAGCAGGAGTGTTTTATAAGCTTTAAAGCCACTCGCGCTGCGCGCTGGTAAACCTAATAAAACACTCCTGCTCGTTTATTAAACAGTACATTACTGACTCTGTATATAGGGAAATCAGTTCAGGATCGCTGCGGCTTACGGTGTGACGAATAACGAAAACACTGGTTTCGTGACACTTTGAAAAGTAATAGTTGTAGGAAAATATTTCTGCAAAATTTTACAAATTACGGTACATTATTTCCAAAATTACCAGTGAAAGATGCTATATTTGGAAATCTTCCCCCCCCCCTAGCCGTAATACAGAAGTTTTTGCCGCTGTTTCTAAATCACATTTTTATATTACAAATCAATCTAAACTTGTAAACATACAATCTCTAACGAAACAAGGAAACATGTCCTTATTTATTATTATAGCAATTTTCCAAATTTACATGAATTCAGTCACGCGATAAACATGCGCTACACGGCTAACCGAGCGGTAAACTCCTATTTTGAGTCTTCGACAACCTCCCGAACATTTGAGGTGATTCATATATAGTACGTACATACCTATGGTGGGAGAGGGAGTCCAGGGAGTCCACGCAGTTCATGCGTATGCCTAGTGTTTGTGATGTCATTTGTAGCGTTCTTTTTGTACAAGGGGAAGGGCCTAATAGGGGGTACATTTTCCGAAAATATTTGAAGTCGCTTTTCCGCGGTGTTAAAAAAACAAGACATTCTAAAGTACAGAGAACATTTATATAAGCAAAATGTTTAACTTGGGGTTCATCCTAAGGTTTTTAGTTATACTCCGTGAACATGTTATTTCAATTTATGTAGATTGTTTGGTTTTTGGGTGATACAAATTTTGGTAAATCATCTTCTTTAAAGCACTGTAGTCCATCTCGGCATAATCATAGCAAGAAAAATGGTGAAGGGAAAGTTATTTGTGAGAAAAAATTTAAAGGTAAAGGAAATGAGCATGAATATTTGGGCGCCGTAGTATGTGGATTGTAGATTGATGTCTTGCTGTTTATGAATGTTCAGCCCTATCCTAACGTTGACCCTAACCTATGACCGCTGACCCCAGCTCATATACCCACTTTGGTTGTGGCAACAGTGAATGACCAAAGAGATAACTAACGGTGGGGAGTTACATGTTAATATGTGCAATTATTTACAAAAATAACCGTTCAATCTATATGTGCCACCTTTAATTTCACTGGTTGAACTTACAGTTACAAGTTATCTTCCCCAAAAAGTAACTAGTAACTAGCTACTCGATAAAGTAACGGATTAAATAAAACCTATTGCTCTTAGCAATGTTACACAATTAACTGTGCCTAAGTGTGTGTAACAAGTGTGCTACAATTTTCAGCTAATTGCCCCAATCTTTGGAATCTTGCAAACAACAACTTTTGTTGGCGAGTATTTGATAAAGTCCTGATGACGTGGCAGGCTGCCAATACGTTTTGCTTGCATCAGAATAGTCGTCTTGCAAATTCAAATGATGTTCAAGTTATTCACAAGAATTTATCTGCTTTGAAAGATGGGAAGCGATACTGGACAAATAGTACTCAAATTGAGGTCTACCCTCCACATGATCCGTTACAAGACTGGTATTGGCTGGATGGTCAACAATTTAATGCCAGTCAGAGACGAGGTTTATATGCAAGACTTACCTACACTGGCAAAGAGGAGAGATGTGCTATTATTCGTGACAGTCAGAGTGGCATTTGGGAAGATAGCCCTTGTAGTGCAAGTCACTTGTCTATCTGCAAAAAGGGAGAACCTATTATGAACATGGTATTTATTGTCTATATTTCGAATTTATCGTAACTATAAAAACAAACTAAGCTAAGAAACAGTGATGGTAATCCCATGCCATTAATGTACACTGTTGTGGAATAATTCCACATACGTACTGACGAATTACTCTGCACGTCGCTAGCTCTTATTCACAACAAGGAAGCCAGCATTTTGTTGCTAAAAAGGTTTCTTATTTGCATATACTTCTAGCTTCGACCAAAAGTTATAAAAGATTAGTAAGGTAAATTGAGCCAAGGGGCTTTGCTTCTTAAAAGATAATTCGTGACGATTGACTAAAGGATAATCATAATTGGTATAAACCAACTAGTAGGCTATCATGTATCCTGCGTTCTGATTGGCTACGCTACTAGTAGGCTATTAGTGATAGCCTACTAGTAGCAACAAGCGACGAAGGGCGCGAGAGTAAATGGCCGTTTTTAAGTATTAAAACCCGTATTTAAAGGGGAAAAGCTTATCAAAATGGCCTAATATTGGTTCTGGATTACACACAAACAAAGACTCTTGGAAACTGCTGACACATGCGGTAAAATGTTTAAGTTTTCTCAACTTTGCTCGTAGTTTTGAACATGAAAGTGACAGGCAATTTTTTAAAATATATGCACAGTGTTTGTTAATATTCCACTAGCAGAATCATTGAAATTCAACAATACTTTGTAGCTATTTAACCCTATTTTCTCAACCTCTTTAGACTTTAGTGTGTGCTTGTTTTAAGTACGAGTTCATGTATTTCGCTGTAATTTTAAAGAGTTTTTTTCGTTTAATTGTTGAGATTTTGGCCGAGCTCGAGATTGTTTTTCGCCTTTTCGACCCTTTTTAAGTCGTGTTTTTCTATTAAATTTTAATAAAAACTATTGTCTATGTATACTAGGTTATGGAAATGGTTTGCCTCTTTATGTTCCTGATATTTTAAAGATTTCAACGACATTCGGAAAATCGGATTCTTTTGCATGTGTTTGCATTTTTATTCAGCTTTTTAAATTGTAAACTTTATTTACTAATTTAGTAACAATTCGGGAAGCCATTTTGTGTTCGAGATTTTGAACTTTTTAAGCCTTGTTTCCTTCTTTTAAATAAGTTTTAATTAACCAAACTTCGCTTCTATAACGGTCTCTTACTATTATACTGTTTTACGACATGTTTTTAAATTTTTTAAAACTCCACAAGTTGTATTTTTCAAGTCATTCTTGGGAGTTCGCAACACTGAGTAGTTGTCAACAAAGCCGAGGCAAAATGTCGCCAAAGGAAGCCATTTAAACGCTCATTTCGTTAAAACGTTATTATTTTAAATGAAAATCAAGTGATAAATTCCGTTTTCTTTATGTGGTTTATACGAAAACAATTAGACAACTCAGCCTCGTTGTCTCCGAACGAATAGTCAACTCGGCTTCGCCTCGTTGACTATTCGCTCATAGACAACTCGGCTTCGTTGTCTAATTGTTAATTATCAACATTTTCACTAGAATACAAACCAAACGTTGGGAGGAGTGCCGTGGGGGCTATGGATGGGATGAAGGGTCGAAAAAAGGGTACTCTGTGTACGCTTGTGAAAATGGTGATAATTATATAGACGACCCTTAAAAATAATGGCCGCGAACATACTGTACGTCTGACCAATTTCGACTTGTCTCTCATAAAGAATTGCATTTCCATGTTGCTTTTCTAAGAATGATCGTAATTCGTTTGAGCATGCATGTACATTTTTGTATTGTATTGTATTGTATTGTATTGTATTGTGTTGTGTTGTGTTGTGTTGTGTTGTGTTGTGTTGTGTTGTGTTGTGTTGCGTTGCGTTGCGTTGCGTTGCGTTGCGTTGCGTTGCGTTGCGTTGCGTTGCGTTGCGTTGCGTTGCATTGCATTGCATTGCATTGCATTGTATTGTAATGATTCTGTTTTACTAAGGTTCCCTGGGTAAATTTCAGGCGTCCGTTGATAATGAAAATGTTTGATTGAGTCATTAGAGTGTTTTAAATATTTTAGAAGCCGTATTAATTTTGTGAAAATAATGAGATTCCTGCACTTCTCTATCATATTCCATACTAATCTTCCCTCTTGTTTAAATGCTAGACCATTTTGACGGTATGTTCTCATCCTCTTACATACATGTTTTAATGCAGTTGAGTAGTTATTTCCACTCATGCATGGCCAAGTTTTTTTACATGTTATTAAAACTATATACCTTTTGCGTTCGTGGTTTATATACGTATACAATGTGTACATAACCTTGTGAAGAAGAAGAATACAAAATCATAAAATATTCGTTAAATAAAATTGAATTTCTTCCCTTATTTAGATTGGTCCTGAAGAGGCGAAGGTACACTCGTTTCTTTTTCTAATAGTGTACCAGTTGCCAGGTCTAAACTTTAGTAAACGACTTGAAATTTAGCTCTTTAAAATTTTAATTGTTTCATACTGGAATTCCTTTAATGGCGATCAAAAGCTGTTCTCTCAGCAAGCTGGTTTCTTTATGTTTTTGTTACAAGAATTATTAATGGAATTTGTTTAATTTTAATTTTTCTCTGTGATTGTCAATGTAAGGCAACTTGTTTCGCAAAAATGAAAGGTTTTAAAGACGAATTTGATCAAGACGACACATTAATAAGAAATGTGCATGATAATATAATTTTAACTTGATAAAAGCAAAGCATATTCTACGTGATATCACGTGGCAGAAAACCACGGTCAGTCGACAACTTAAGACAAATATAAGACAAAAACAGATCCGAACAGTAAATTCTTATTAATATTTAATATTGCAACTAAAAAATGGACAAGTTTTTGAAATCAATATTTCGACTAATTTTAAAGACATTATGCTTCTTCTTTTTTATTTAATTAATCTGCATTTATAGTGCCAAGCACATTCCTCGTTTTCTCACAGATATCCATATAAAATCCATTTAAAAACGCGCGGATAAAATGTAAATTAATTTGCTTTCCTTTCACAGGCCAAGATACTGAACGCCGTAGATGGACTTCTAAATATACGTTTTACGGTAAATATAATAATAACTCGAATATATATATCTTTTCTGATAACCATGTTAAAAAACAAGTAATCGTTCTATTTAAAACACTAACAAGAGTGCTTTATTGGTTATAAACACGAGGCGATAGGCGAGCGCTTTATATCTGATTTTAACACTGACTGCACGCATGGGAGTGTTTTAAATGACTTTAAAAACTACCCATCTTATGACAAATAATTTTAAAATCCAACGTTGTCTAAGCCGAGAGAATCAAAGCTAAAGCTTATGTGAATTAAAAATCATTTTTATCTCATACAAAACAAGCTACAAGGTATTTCCCTTGTCTTTTCCTCATGAATAGGCTATTATTAATGAGTTTTTTTAAATGAAATAAAATAAATTTTGATAGGCTAAGAGTAATTCAGTTTTATTGAAATACTGTGTCCAAAGCTGTAACTCAGGACCAAAAAATATTTTAGTGCAAGTAACTCAGTGAATAAAAAATGATTGTTGAACATAACTGATTTAAGTAATTTAAGTTTTATATAATTTCTGCCTTTGTTATCTATTCTTATTTTTTTACTAATATTAATGTACGGCTTCTTAGGTTGAAAAACAACTGTTTAATACAACCCAGAAAATCATTCGTATTGTCCAGTCAAGCAGCTTCGAATCATTTAATAGCACAAGAAGAAAAAACGGAATAATAGGTATGAAACCCGTTTAAGCACCTTGTATTGTAATGTGTTAACCAACAAAAGTATCTGTGGTGCATGAGCTAGCTCTGCAGTGGGTGTACATTAAAAAATAACTAGAAATACATGCATGCAGCAACCATCTCGCATTTTAAAGTTTAACAACTGTAGTTTCCAATCATAAATTCAACATATTCCATTCTGAGCCGACAACTGATACTATAAAATTAAAGTTATAGCTAGACAAAGTCCAACGTTGTATCAAACTATACTTGAGGATGCACAGTACATGCACGTAGCCCTATTGTGTTCGTTGAGTTTCAATCCTAGACGTTTACTAAAACATTTTGAAATGCTTCAATGTTCTCTTTTCTAAAAATATAAATTAATTTCTCATGTTTTTAAAATCTTGCCAATAACAATTCGCCCAAGTTTTGAGATCAGTATCTCCACCCATTAACCATGGCCATGTGCCCGCGATCATTGATGAACTTTTCACTCCGCTAGATTTTATTTTCCCGGTGTAAATAGCCGAGCGAGTCAACCTATAGTACCCACACTACGCGTTCCGCGAGTGCTCGAGGAATATTATCATTAGGATAAATTGGCATAACATGCGGGAAAATAGCGGTTTAAATTAATAATCTTTCTTTATAAAACTCATTAACAATTCATGAGGAAAATACAAAAGAAATTAATGTTTAATCAATGTTTGTAAATCGCATAAAGAATTGTCCTGATTCACATAAACTTCAGATTTGATTTTCTCGGCTTAGACAATGTTTATTTTTAAAATTACGTACTTCGTCAATGAACTCATAAGATGATGGGTCGTTTTATAAGCACGATAAAACTTTCTCATCCGATCTTTATCTGATATACAAACTCTCGCCTTCGGCTCGAGTTTGTATATCAGATAAAAATCGGCTGTTCATGTTTTATCTAGTACATAACAATCTTCAAAACAACCAGAAAAAGATTTATAATACTTCAGATATAATGGAAAACAATTTTGAAGAATTTAATTTTCTCTTCGAAATGTTATTAAATTTCATTATTTTCCAATTTTGTAGTGGAGGTGCTTACCACTAGTCTTCATAGTCTACACAAGTGGGGAGAAGACATAACGTCAATACCGAACATAACTATTTGGAAGAGGTGTCAAAATGAACCAGATTGTAAGTAATAGATAAAGCGTGATCGGTCGATCTTCATTTGATACACAGATAAGAAAAACACCGTGAAAATCATCTACGCATGCATCAGCAGGCATCATATATTTAAATCATTATAAATTTCATGATATCGATATGTAAATAAAATCAGACAATTCATATATTACTAGAAATACATGCATGCAGCGACCCCTCGCATGTATTTTCCAAACATTGATTTAACATGAAATATTAGTAATTGATTAACACTGAACCTATGACTGAACGCTGGCTCGCGTTTACGTCAGTGTTGCCATGGCAACACGATAAATTTGGGTTTTTTTATATTTTTTGTACAACACATCAAAAATAGTTGAAAGATTATTGCTTTTAACTATATAACAATGAATTTCCAAAATATGTACAGTAGGTATGTTGTTCGGCATTTTGTGAGCTTTGATTTAATGTAAAATTTAACGTGGATCGCTGCGTAAAATGTTTTGAAATGTTCATTTTAATATTATAGAACTATAAACTGCTTTTTCCAATATAAAACTGTACGGGTTTTTATATAGTTTATAAAACAAAATATGTTCAAATTGTTGAGTAATTTCAGTTCGGCTTTCAAATGAATTTGCACTCCTTTACATTTTACCTTTTATTCTTAAATTAAAGAGGGTAATTTCGCAAACTTTGATACAGCTTCATTGAAAAGGAAAAGCAGTGCATGTTTTACGCAATAAATTAAAGCAACAAAATTCATAAACATTAAACATTCATGCATCAAAGCAAACTTGCCCTATATTCCACGATTTTCCACAGTAAATCAATTCTTCTCATTTCTTCAAACAAAAATTGCTTCAAAGCTCATTGTGTGAAACGTGATTTTCTAAATATATGCTTTTGAAAATTGAAATCTTGCTTATCCCACTCCTGGAAAATAGCCATATTTTTGAGATTAGCGAGGATGACCACCCATGCTTGTTGGTGACCGACGCCCGCGCTCATTGATCAACTTCAGACTTATAATATAATATAATATAATGAATTTGTCACTTTATACACGATACAAACTAATTAAAGACAAATAAAGACAGATACAAATCGTGACAGGGGAAAGGAACAGGACTCTCGTCCCAATTGACACCTAACCCCTATAAAGACGTTAAATATAAATAAAGATAAAGAACATGTTATAACACATTAGTTATAACACTGAACTTATACTAGCTAAAGTTTGAATCGTGACTATGAAAGTACTGAACGTTTACACACTGCGACTTACCCACTATGCAGATTACTATTATGAATTATTCAAAATCAATTTGGAAATCACGAGTCAATTTATAACATATTTGTAAATATGATGAAAATGGCCGGATGATGGTTCAACAAATCGCAATGTGTATACGCTGATCACGCAGTGCCCGGAGGTACGTAATGCGATAACTTAGTAGAATACAACTTTTGAAGATGAGACTTGAAAATACTTAAAGAATTGGAGGATTTGACATGAGACGGTAGAGTGTTCCATAGTTCAACCGTTCTAATGAAAAAAGAATTTCTAAAATAGTCCTGCTTGTGTTTAATTATAAGATTATAGTTGTTTTTATCATAATTTCTTGATTGGTATCCAGGTTCAAAAGTACATATATATTTGTTCACATCAGTAGTAATTGCTCCAGTTCTAGATTTAAAAAGTAGGCATAAGTCTGAGATATCTCTTCTGAACTCAGGAGGGAGAATCTTGATTTTCGCGAGTCTGTCAGCATACGTTAGGTTCTGTGGATAGTCAAGAATAAACTTTGTTGCCCTCCGCTGGACATTTTCGACTAGTCTCTTATGCTTGATGGTATACGGTGACCATAAGCTGCTGGCATATTCTAGAATGGGCCTCACGAGAGCGCAGAATAGTAATTTTCTCACTCTTTGGTCGTGGGTATCCTTGCAAGTTCGTTTGACAAGTCCGAGTGTTCTGTTGGCTTTGGCCACCGTTTCTTCTATGTGTCTTGACCAGGACATGTCACTGCATACAGTCACACCAAGATCTTTGACGTATGGAACACATTCCAGAGGTTGACCGTCCAAATTGTACTGAGATACAATCTTCGTCTTTTTTTCTCGAGACCCGTAGTGCTTGACATTTAGATTTGTTAAACTTCATCGCCCAGTCGAGACTCCATTTATGAAGGTTATTCAGGTCGTTTTGGAGGTGAAGGGTTGAGTCAGGAAGGTTGATGGGTTTATAAAGTTTGGAGTCATCGGCAAACAGGGCAATGGTTGATTGGGAATTGATGTAGCTGGGGAGATCGTTGACGTAGACAAGGAACAGGAGAGGACCAAGTATGGAACCTTGGGGGACACCGGATGTTATTGGAAGCCAGTCAGAATAAACACCATCAAGAACAACTCTTTGATATCTGTCCGTGAAATAGCTGCTAAACCACGAGAGAAGAGATCCTGAGATGCCATAACCGTTCAGTTTTAAAAGTAGTAAACTATGTGGGACCTTGTCGAAGGCTTTAGATAGATCTAAGTAAATGATATCTACTTCCTTTCCCGATGCAACGGTTTCTATGATGTTGTGATAAACCTCCAGAAGTTGCGTTACCGTTGATCGTCCGCGCAAGAACCCGTGTTGAAGGTGGTATAACAGGGGTGAGAGGTGGTAGTAGCAGTGGTTAAAAACACAACGTTCCAATACTTTGGACAGTACACATAGAAGAGAGATAGGACGGTAATTGGATTCTATCGATGGATCCTCTTTCTTGAAGACAGGGGATATGTTGGCGAATTTCCACTCTGACGGCACTACACCCAGGGAAAGAGAAAGGTTGAACAATCTGCACCTACACTTGGCTAATGCTTCCCTTTCCCCGGGTGTAAACAGCCGGGGGGGATTAGTACCCGCGCCGTCGACTCGGGGATTAAATTTTGATACTGATTACTGGTATAAATAACTATGATTGTTAAGCCGTAAAAAGTGCGAAGAATATTGTGGGGGTTTTCTAACCAAACTTATACAGAGAATGGGATAAATTATCTTTTTATCTTAATTAACAGACTAGTAGTAGTATAACAATAAAAATATACTGATAGTGACTCCTTCCAAATCAGTTCCATTTCCAACTGTCCACTCTTTTTGTGTTTAAAAAAATATGCTAAGTATAACGTCTCCAAACGTGATTTATTGTAAGTAATAGCATGGCTTGAGGGAGATTAGTGATTAAATGACCCCGTAACCCGAGGAAACCTGCCGAGGGTAAGGGGTTATTTAATCACTAATTTCCCGAAAAGCTATGCTATTAGTTTGTAATATTAGCATAGTTAAGTTTCCATTTTCAAATGGACAAGCATGCCCTACTTGCAATCAGCGAATTTAAGCTAAAACATTTGCTTCTTTGCTTGTGGGATGTAAAAGCTTGTTGCATATGCGCACTTTTTACGCTTTAACCGGTTACGCATGAGCAATATCTATCATTTAACGTACCACAACAAAAATTATAAATGTATTAGTATAAAATCGGAGACTGAATCGGGCATCGGATGATAGACTATTGACATAGAATAAAAAATAGACCCGAAGCCTCACTGTACACCTTTCCCTAACATTTTTTGTCCGCGATATTGCCTTGCGGATCACGAATTTCCAACATGAGCTCCACCTTTGAATTTACTATATGAGTAAATTCTTAAACACGTCCGAATTTATCATTATGATAAATTCGCGGCACATTTTGAATTTATCAATAGAGTTAATCTTAAAACCACAATCATTGCACAAGGTTTCTTGTTATAAATGTAATGGCACTAAAAGGGAGGCCGGTCGCGCAAGGGCAGGGAGTTTTTCATGTTTTTAAAAAAAATAGTTTTTAAAAAAGTTTTAAAAGAGTTTTGAAAAGCAAGAAAAGTTTAAAAAGTTAGAAAAATGAGGGTTAGTGGTTAGTGGTTAGTGGTTACGGTTGGGGTTAGGGTTAGTGTTAGGTGCCGCGAATTTATTATTATGATAAATTAGAAAAGACAAAGAAAAATTCGGCTCCGCGCGCAAAATTCCGCCTACCGTGGAAAACAGGCTTAACAGAAGGCCACTCAGCGGTGCAACGTGTCCTCGTTTTTTTATGCAAAAATATGCAGTTTACTGGCCAGATGGCGGAGCAGCCAGCCAGTACAGCGTGTTTATTGGCCAGAAAATGTCATTGGCTGGCTAGGAAAATGGCGGCCAACATGCGTAATGCGACATGCGCGAGGACAGAAACTTTAATGCTTCCGTCGTAAGTGGCCCTTCTATATGGATCTTTATTCTATGTTGCGAACATCACGTCAGCGTTCGTCAGCGTCAATTCCTCAAACCAACAGTTTCTCTTGAAATTCGAAAAACATGCTCAAAGTGTACGCTGCATATTCTGCAATTATTGTGAAAATATTTTACGCTTTTGTTTTTCACGTTGTGTTTTCCTGTTGCGATGACCCATTATTTGAACCTGTGGCATTTTAGAACGGCTAAAACAGCAATCTTTATTACCTAGTGATGGCAATTGATGGCGTTGCTCGCGTTTGATGGCGTTGTGATTACACTTGCTGGCTCGCGCTTGCGCATAAAAAGTCTCGGACATAATTTTGGCTAAGTGATGCTTCTGGTCTATTTTCTATTCTGAGCTAACGGCTCTGAGCTAACTGTTGCTGTTCCTTCCACGATTTTCCACAATAACGTTTTCGCGTCGAATCAACAGCAGTAATTTAACTCTGTGATTTATTAGAAATATTTACAATATTCAGACCCTTATACTTCTGGCAACTTTTAATTGATTTGCCTATATACTTCACATCTAAACTTTTTCACTATAAGCGTGCAATCTATACAGTACATGCCCGTTCAAATGATGGATTTTTATTTGCCTTATATTTCTTCATCTACTTTAAATGTTAGAGGACTTGTGATTGATTAAGACCTAGTCTACCCGTTTGCTGTATTTTCTTGTTTGTTTCACTTATCTCGAATGAGCAGCCCCGAAGGAAAAGTATTTATGTGATTATTAATGCTTCTGCCGTATAATATCTTGATTTTACTAAATTTAAAATTATTTTATCAAGCTTGAAGTATGTTCTCCGTTTTAATTGCTGCACTTTGTATGTTGTTTGAAATATATAAAACATGTGCAGCCGTGTTGTTTATCAGATATACAAACACAAGCCGAAGTCCAGTGATTGTATATTAAATATGATATACAGACGCAAATGCTGTGTTGCGTGTGAAACGTAAGAATCTGATTAGTTAGGTAGAGTAGTAGGTAAAACTTTATTTAACTACGCTAACCCCTACAGCGAAGGCTGATTTCCAATTTTGAAAAAGCGTGAATTATTATCAAGAGATGATTAGTTGTGTTGTCATGTTATCATCCAAAATGAGAGTGCTATATATTTGGATACAACAACTCATTATTAAGCATTGATTTCTTTTGGAATTTCATAAAATTGTGAAAAGTAACGAACAAATTCACACTCTTGATCAACCGTCCTTTTTAATATTTTTGCTCAAATTTGTTCGCAAGCCCCATGCACTCCAGATTTACTAATTGTACTATTGTCCAATTATTTATAGGAAATTAGCAACATAGACGCAAACGGGAAGTTATTCGAGCCGTTATAGATGGCGAGTGATGGCGACATCCGCGTTCTTGTTTGAAATCACAAAAACTGCCGTTCTTGATTTGAAACAAGGCGGATGTCGCCATCTATAACGACACGATTGACTTTAGGTTGGCGTCTGTGTTGTCAAAAACGTCGCTTGCTTAATACAATGTTTCTTGTCATTCAGTATTAGTGTAAATTGACTATTAATGGATTCAAGGGAACAACATCATTACCCGCTTTTGTGATAAATTTTTGGGGAATTCTTGCGGGCTCTGTTATAATCGGCACAACTGTGCCAATTAATGTTTAATCGGAACAGTCTTTAGCTAATCAAAATCCTGTACATTGACTAAGATGATATGAATAAAATAATTTAACGGCTCTCCTGAAATCAAATTGCTGTAATTTTGCCATAATAGTAACAAAATGAAGATCTGTGCGTATTTTTTTAGGTGAGGTTAAAAGAATTACAATCCAATGGAATAATGTCCACGTAGACTGCAGAGCTTTGTCGTACGTATACATTTTAATATTAATAATTTAAGGTGGCTATTAATAATCACTTGTAGAGTACCTTGCATGGACAGGAAAACACTAAGAAAATGGATGAGCAGTTTCAGTCTTTTCTAATCTAGTGCAGAATTTTCAATTTAGCACTGGTGGACTATTTTGAAAAAGAAAATCCTTTCTTCGTTCATTGCACAATCTGTGCTGGTTTCCTTTTTAGATCGTTATATTAATTATGATTATATATATCTGTGACAAATATTTAATTAAGCTTACCGCTTCTGGAAGGATTTAAGGAATCAATACTAATCACGCAATTTATTGTCACTTCACTCTTCCCAAATGTTTTAATCTTTATTGCCTTGCGTACTTTTCAGCGATTCGTCTTGTCGTGCCGACATTATAGTATTGGATTATATTGCAAAGGGGCACCTGATATCGAAACTAGAGGAAAATGAAACAGTATCTTTACAATTTTCTAAATACCGGAAAAGCGTCGCAAGAGAAGAAGTAAGCCAAGATTGTAACAACTTAAATCCTTTCCATTAGTTTACACATATCAACGTAGTGCTGTACAGAAGTTCACAATGGAGAAACAATCGGGTTGAATGATGTGTGCCAAAAATACTGTAGTAATCTCATTCAATTTGACACTTTTTAGTCGCTTAATGTTCGTGCATATATTTAAAGTTATCTACTTCCAGAGTATAGACATTACGGTTAAAAACTTTGGCGAGCAAATTCTAGGTGTGCATGCTCAATTTTTTTAAAAACAAAGGGTATTCAATTAAGGCACTATTTCCAATCGTATAGGAGCACAAATTCGCTAATATTTTGGTCTTTGAGATCCACAATATTAAGAAAAATAACCATGGATATATAGACAAGGAATTTTTCGGGTTATTCTGACCGTAAGTATATGCATTCTGGCATATATATATATATATATATATATATATATATATATAACAAGTGTTTTTGTTTCAAAGCGGCTTTGCTGTCAGTTTAATTAATGATTAATCTCATTGTTAATCCATGACGTAATTAAACATGGACAAGATATGTTGTAGTTTCTATTCGAAACTTCCCAATCCCTTTTAATTTGCTTGTGTATATATACCCGTGTACTAGACAGCAAAATTTAATATTACATATATCGGATGTTGTTGGATTTCTGTTTTCAAAAAGCTAAGGAATTCAAGGCACTTTTTCAAAACATACGAACACAAATTCGTTAATATATTGTTGTTTTCGATAATAGTACGATAAATAGACAGTAAATATGAAAGGAGATTTTCAAGATTTTCAAAAAAAGTTTAAAAAGTTTAAAAAAGAGAAAAAAAAAGTTAAAAAAGTTAGATTACGGTTAGGGTTAGTGGTTAGGGTTGAGGTTATAGTTTTAGGGGTTAGTTGCCGCAAATTTATCATATTGAAATTAAAATTCGGACGTGTTTAGCAATTTACTCATATGGTAAATCAAAAGGTAGCGCTCACGCTGAACACTAACACTAACCCCAACCACTAACCCTAACCCCTAACCTAACTTTTTAAACTTTCTTGAAAATCTAACTTTTTAAACTTTTTTAAATTAAACTCTTTTTGAAAATCTTGAAAAGCCGATTGCATGCAATCAATGTGTTGTTGATGCTGTTGCATTTCTGGCAGACATACAGCTGGAACATATGTTCACAGTGTTCAATTGTAGTGTAAACAGACATTAATTAACTAGACACATGGGCAGTAGGCTAGCTAACACATTAAGCGCCAGCGCTTCCCTTGATGAGTAAAACCATCTGGCGTTAGACAGAGTAAAATAACAAAGTAGGGCGCATCATAGCGCAATGCGACTCGAAAACAATGTCCCGGTGAAACACTCGCTCTCGTTGTTCATATATTACTTAATTTAACAACATGATGGACAAAAGACATGCATGTATCGGCATTCAATTTATTCAAGATTTAGTACAGAAGGAGTCGAAATCCTGAATAAATTCATGCTGATATACAGGGTGTCTAAAAAAACGCTATGGAAATTCAAGTGGCTGTCGTGCATCATAAACTTAGCTAAACAATTCAATTCTACACAGGACGAAAGAGCTGTTATTTAGCTTTTCTATGATACCTTTGTTAAATCGTAACGATGAGAAATGGCCACACACTCGTCAAATAAAAATTTCCAGTCGAAATCATATTCTTCAATGCACCGTTGGGAACAACCTCGTACCCAGGGCCTTTGCGCGGTTCAGAGGCTCTGGTACGGGAAGCAAAGGCCCTGGTAAACACTGGTCATGTGACTCCAAAAATATTGGACATTTCGTAATAATTTAGTTTTCAATCCGGGGGGAGCGGAGCCGAT